AAGTCACGTTTTCCAAAATTGCATTGTCGTGTGTCTGTTACTGAACGCTTCCTCCCTGGATATATGTATACAGGGTGTAATGTTGTACAACCCGGGTAGGAGGTTATTCCACGTAAAAAAATAAGTCTACGATATTAATCCAACGCTAACACACCCATTACAAATTAACCTTCAAAGTAGATTTTCTCGAAAACAAAGCCTCATAAAATAAAATTTTTATAAATTATTTTTCCACGTAAAATCACACCCCCCGACCGGTCGTACCATCAAGTTACAGGACGCTCTGTATATCTGATTTAATTAAACGTCCCTCCTCGCCGCGACGAACCCACCCTTCCCATTACGATTTTATTAACGTCGTCCCGACTCGAGGAAACGTAAGCTCGATATCCACGAGTCTACCCCGTCTACATAAGTAAGATCTCACCCTGCGACCCCAGGGAACGGGGGGGTTGGAGATCGTGCTTAAAATTTCCTACGCGAAGCCCCATTGTTCCTGCCCGTGGAAATAACAGCTGACACGTTCGTGCGGGCGCATACACGCTTGAAATCGGCCGATTACCACGGGTCCGTGACGGACCGGGGCCATTCGAATTCACGGAAAACCCCACGGTCTTGAATATTCAGGACGTCGCTCGTGGACCTCCTACGACTCGCGGATAACAACCCTCTTCGTCGGAGATCGTTGATCCTACTCGCGGCTTACCGAATGGAAACACCGCCCTACGGACCAGTTTTGCGACGTGAGCACGAAAGTAATCCGATACGAGGAACCATGAATTTGTTCGATCACGCACGCGAATTTTAACCACCCCCTTTTTAGCAGCCAGAATGTCGAGAATCTGGTGTTGTGTTAACCCCTTTAAAAGTGGGACGACACATCTTTCGTTTCCTCGAAGATTATACGGTTTCTTTTTGGCAGATTGACTGCGTCAGTGGAAAAGGTCGTACGTAGTCAGACACGATTTATTTCGGTTTTTTAAGTCGCGAGCGTCGAAAATAAAGGGTGTGTCAATATGCACTGTTATCTAAAGTAACTCGTTACTTGATAGGTTAAATTAAAAAATGTTTTAAATGCATTTGAAGAGACTTATCGAATAAATACAAATTGATATTTCGAGTAACGATGAGTAACGAGTTATTTTAGATAATACTTCTTGTTGAATCACCCTGTATATGCGTCTAGTTGATAAAGACTGTTTTGTTTTAAATTATGTGTCCCCATATTTGGATGACATGGGAAGTGTTGGACGAGGTTACAGAAGAATCCACCGAATCTTCTCCAAGTGAATCGAAATTTTTTACATTCTTTTTTTTTTAATTCAACAAATTGCTAGGGTGCGATATATTCCAACGACATGATGGTCTTGAAAAGGTGTTCCATCCTCTAACGATCATACCCGCGAACGCACTCGAATCGTTCCGCGAAGACGAGGGTGAAAAACTCGCGAACGAGACCTATTCGAAGCAATTTACGAGAGCCTAATAATTATCGGAGATAATTACACCGGATACATCGCGACGTTTTAAGGGATCGAGCCGGAAAACCCTTCGAGTGTTCCAACGACGGAGTCGGTTTCGAAAGATTCCGAGTCGGTCCTCGAATTACTTTTCCGACGACGAACGGATGAATGAATGAACGAACGAATGCCCACGGTTTCCAAGCAATCATTTCGCGATATCCAATTTGAATAATTACTCGGGATAATTACTTCCGCCGGGACTAGACAGCAGGAAGTATTCGGAATATTTCGCAATTACTGACGATTATTTTTCCCCGACCAGAAACAGATTACGTGCTCTTCTTTGAGTCGAAGTGAAAGGCCACGTTGCTGGCATTAATATTTAACTTTTACAGTAAAAGTACAGTTGCGATAAATACAGAATTCCTTTCGTTTCTGATTTGTTCACGAAATACTGTGTCACTTTTCTGGTTGACCGAATTATTTACCAAAATACGAATCTTATTTCAAAATTAAGATAAATTGATCACAAAAGAATGACAAAAAGAATATATAAATGAAAATTCCATAAAAGATTGAACACCTAACTGTTATTTCAAAAGAAGCGTTAGTTAGAAAGGGGTCGTGGGCCCAATATGCATAAAACAAACAAGCGTGAAATTCATCAAGGAGATACATTCGGGTCTTTTTTATTGTTTGGTCGACTAACGAGCGAGAAATGGTGGCAGGATAGGATAACGAGTTAATTCGTGGCGAGAAGGGCGGAAAGAAGGGCAGCTGCCTGGTCCAGGCAACGGGGTAACGCATCGTCGGGTCGTGGCACTGACAGTACGACCTACATACGATTCCACACCCCTCCTCTCTCTCTCTCTCTATTCTCCTTATCTCTACTTCTCAGTTTTACAGTGACGGATTCACGCTGGAGTTTCACCCCCACCACCCCATCCTGACTGGAAATTTCTTCGAAAGTTTCTGAACTGCGCCTGGAGCCCACGGGGGTGATGCAGCGGGTGTGAAAATTACTTCGTGAGTGCAACGCCTTCGAATCTAAAGCGGTGACAAAGTGAGAATTTCATTTTGTATGTTTTTCAACAACCAAGATATTTTCATTCTCCTATGTAAAGGTGGTTCGATCATTTCGACTTTATTAAGAAATCCAAATGAATTTATTGGTTTGTGAAAGATTGTAAATTATTGGGTGGTATTTGTCAGGGGGTGCGAAGGGTTGTTGGGCCGGCCCTGTCCTTACATCATTCCCCTTTATCTGCCACCTCCCGGTTGCATCCAATGACGTAAGGGGTTGCGACCGAGGTGCATCCTTTTTTTCTCTGAATGGAATCACCGGGAAAGAACCACCCGAAAACTCGCCGATTAGGGCCGATTACGTGGGACATGTAATTTCTGTGAAACTCAGCGGAAAAAGATGCGACCAAGCGAACGGAAGGATGTTCCTTCGGTCGAGTCTTTTACGTGGAGAGGGTGTTGAACGTCGTTGAGAGGGTAACATTTTGAATTTGTACCGCCACCAACCATAGGTCGGTATGAAGGTGTCAGTTTACTTCGAAAACGAAAAACAGTCGGAGCATGGTACAAGAAGGAAAAAATGAACGATAAAGAGCTTCCTTTGTATCCACGTCGCGTATCGTCGCGGCCTTTTGAGAATTCTTAGGATATTCGACGGGTGGAAGGATCGACGGATCAACGTTTCGCGTTGGCCGGAAAATTTCTTTACAATATTCACCAGAAGCCACAGTGAAACAGACCAGGTTACCATCGCGTCTATCCCGTTCGCCGACATAAACATCTTTTATTGGAAAACTTTCGTCCGCGTCTGACTGCATCCAGCAAATAACGTATCCAGTTGCAATTTCCAGCGTGCCACTGCTCTAGTCGATCGAGCAACTCGTTCTAACGGGTGTCCTCGGGAAAATATCCCGGTAACGATGAAACATACCGGAAACGCTTCTTGTTTCCTTTCATTGTAAATGTTTAGCGATCCAAGGAAACAGTTTTTTTATTAGTTAAATAAATATCCATCGACATATAAAACCGTCAACCCTGCTATTCTTTCTACTTTCATCACCCCCCACCCCTCCCCCCAGTCTTCTATGTCCAAACCTACTTTTTTTAAACTTATAGGCTTCCAAAAAATCTAAAAAAATCAGGTATATTTCCAAGGGTCTCTTGACTTATATGATCCAATAGTTTTTAAATTTGGAAGTCAAAAGATTTTTTTAATAACAATAATTTCGTTTTGTAGATGCTGCAGCGTAAAATTTCGCTCCTACCATAAAAGACCTAGGCGTATTCTTGTTCCGTTTCTTAGATTCTTAGATTCTTCTTTAGATCGCTTAGTGGATGCATTTCCGGTCGAGTATCGAATTCGTTCTTCGAGAAATTCGAACGGGGACGGGTTTAGCCGCGATATTGGACGAGAATAACTTCGACCGGCTCTCTTCGCGAACAGGGGAGGGGAATAAATTTTTGCAAAGAGCTCCTGGATAAATATGTGCGCGGCCATGTATCTCACGGAATATACTCTTCGCCCGGCTTATGGATCGTGCCGCGGCGCGTGACTGCGAATCAACGGAAACCGATCACGAGGAATAACTCGCGCCGCGATACGTAACGAGATGGGGTTATATTTTTCGTTTTCGAAGCGAAGTTTACCGCTTACACAGCAGGATTTCCGAGCGTTCGACGTAGAGATATGAAAGAAAAATGATATTTCTTTTTTCCCCGATGAACGGTGAATGGTATCGGATTGAGTGCCATCGTTAATTCCAACAAAAATCTACAATGAAGATAACTGCGTCTAGCTAGATATTTTCTGGTACTAGTGACAATTTTTGTGAAAATTGTGTTTATTGAAAAAAGAAATGAGAGGGAAGTTTTCTGGTTTCAATGATAGCTAGCGTGGTTTAGTAACAATCCCGATAAAAATTTAAATGCAGTAAAAATTATCTGATTGTTTTAATAGTTTCTTCGTTTTTAGTAATTATTTATGATTCTAGTAATTATTGTGATTCTAGTAATAATGTAGAGGATTCTGACTTACCTTAGACTTCCTGTTTGACCGATGATCGATGTCCAGTCGATTATGTACTCGGTCGATGTTACTGGTTGTTGATTCTGTTTTCGCCTCGAAACTGTGTCAACATTATTGTGACAAATTGACACGTGGTTATTTTTTATGGAATTCAGATGACGTGTCGCAGAAATTGACTGTGTGGTGTGATGGAATTTGGGCTGAGGATCGAAGGGAACATCTTTACCGACTTCGTCAACAGTTTCTTCTGGATAGGAACAGATGGAGGTACTAGAACGGAAGTTCCGGTCTGATGGTTCGATGGATCTGTACGTAAAAAAATGTAATATTAATTTAGATCAACGTTTAGGATAGTTATCTGGAATTTTAACAAATGCGTAAAATAATAACAGGGAAGTCAATTTTCCCAATGGAAGAAAAATGGGAAACGGGGAACAATTTTCCATGAAACGAGGGAAACATTCGACAGGAAGTCGTCAACGCACATCTGTAATATAGATACCGTGTATTATATAAAACATCATTGTTACAACGTACAATCGTAGATCGCTGTATTCTCAGATTCCATTCGACGGAATCCTCCTTTCCTCTTCTATTTCCCGACGTTTTTCACGCAACAGGTGTATAACACGAGTTTTCACGTGGGATCCGATCGCCGGAACAGCAAACAATTAATCCGGGCAGTTAACTTCTAAACCCCACAGACACGAATTTTATTTCTCTTTTTCTCTCTCTCTATCTCTCTCTCTCTCTCTCTTTCTCTCAATATTGCACACTGATTCGATCGACAGAACAGGGAACGGTTATGAGGGTACCGGACGTCGCGCTGTTCACAAAATAAAAAGTAAGAGTTGCTGATTCTTCTCGTGTTCCAATAGAAAATTCTGGTGCGTTTACAGAATCAATATCTGGATTATTATTTACGATTATTGTTCCGTTGATCGTCCTTGGAGCATTGGATTTATTTTTTTTTTTTAAGTATCTTCTAAGACCTTTCTTCGACCGATTTCCTCTTGCACGCACGATATAGCGCAATCGCGAATCCACTCGCACCCATTAAATATCACATTGTAACGGCCATCGGCTTCCTTACGCAAGAGACTAGCTTAAGGTAATTTCGATTCGCAGCGGCGAGACTATGTCGCCGAATATTCCTTGCATCTCTCGTGGTCATATGGTACAATCACATTCGAGACACCAATATACATATATATACCATACATACATAACCCCCCAATCAAAACAAAATTCGCCATCCAATTTCGAATTACATACAACACGTTGGGTGTCTCCGGTGTTCTATATACAAATACCGGTCACTCTATCTCTTCCTATGTACAGACTATATACCATGAATTTTCCGCAAGAAAAAAGCCATTCCCGTGGTTTTCCCCTCGCGACATATACCTCTTTAAATATGATCCGCGTCGAAATACAAAAGGCAGATCCCTCTCGAGGCTAGTTCGAAAATTAAAGCCTTTTCGCCAATTGATCAGGTCTTCTGAAAAAATCAACGATTCTTCTTTCGATCGAGAATCGACGATTTTTCTTTCCTTTCGATCTTCCGCGAAAAATCTCGATCCACCGTTGGTATCTCCTGGTTCGAGGCTCCTGGATAACATTCTGCCGTCGTTGGGAATGTTAACGGAGCCACGGCATGGTATAATTATGTACAGCCTATGTACAGAGACGAAACGTGATCGTAAACGGAACACAGAACGAACGCGACAGAGTGGAACGATCGCAGTTGTCGGGGGGAAAAACCGCCCCTGGACGAACGAAGCACCCGCCCCGCCGGCATCTAGATCGAAGGAACGTGAGATCGCGCGATCTTCCGTCCCGTTTTCATCTTCTCCGTCGGATCGACGCGGGATCATCCAGCTGATCATCATCTGTGCGGACAATTGGGCACGTGGGGGAACAGATGGCAGTGGATCGACCGGAATCTGTAATTGGAAAATCATCGACGCACACGTCCAAGGTGAAGCGAGCTCCGAACTTTCTGAGAGGCTCCTTAACGCTAATGAGAATACGGACACCAACGATCTTCGAGGTTTCTGTGTTAACTACCGAGCAGGAAGTGGGATTATTGTTAGTGGATCTGGATGGTTTTGGAATAAATTTAGACCTTGATGATAGCCAGATAAAGGAGCGTTAATGTGATACAATCGATAGTTTCGGAAGAGGACGTGCAAACAGCTAGAGTAGATGTCCTAATTACTGCTACCTTAGAGAGGAGAATATTCTGGGGGGAGTTGAGGGGGAAAATCGAGGAAACGGATCTCCCGCGAAAGTGTAGAACTGACAATCGTAATAAAGTCGATTAGAAACGTCTTCGCTATTACCTTCGGGGTCCACTATTCTTCCGCCTTCTCTCTCGCGTGGTCTAATCGTCTAGTCGGTTCGCCACACGGGGGAGCGGGCAATTATACAAGCAATTGAAGCGTTTATGAAGGAACGTTGCGAGGGAAGAACACGAAGCGGGTCAAAGAAACGGGAAAATGATACGAGAAACCAGACGAAGAACCGTGTCTAGGAGGAACAAAGAGGATATTCTGTTACACGCGGCTGCTAATTACGACTTCTAAGTCTCGGCCAGGGGATCATAGAAGTGGGCAGATTAGTTCTCGTGGGATTGGGAAAGATCCGTTGACTTCTCGGTTTTTTTTTTTTGGTCGAAGAACTGAACGACGAACGGATTAATATTGGTCAAATGTGAGGAGTGTGAATAGTGGGATAGATACATTTTTGCTGGATAGATTAGTCCTGTGAAATTGTGCAGCTTCAGAGAATGTGTGATAAATATACTGCAGAGGTTTATACAAAATCGAAATCTCAGACACTGATATCTCAAATTAAAATGGAGCGCAATTTTGAATTTTGTACTAGAGGCTTTACTACGTTGAGAACTACGTGTAAATAGTATTAAACTGCATTGATAGCTTGAGCCAAATAGGAAATTGAAGTGTCTCGCATATGTGACGCCTGGTAACGAACGTGTTAATAGAATGAAGCGGAGAAAAATTTATTTCGTTGAACGTACCGTTTCGGATCGTCCTTCATGTCGAAGCCATCGATCTTCAGAATGTTCCACTCGTCCCTAGGACCCTTCGAGTAGCTGAACGACACCTGGAAACGAAGACAGCGGAATAACGATCGGTAACAGTGTAAGTATCCCGCGAAAGACTCGGCTCATTTACCATACACGACGTAATTATTAAAAAGGTATACGTAAAGCACGTCTTTTTACATTTTTCATCATAGGTAGAAATGGTTTAGCACACAAAAAAAATGTACATATATTTTTCTAACCGCAATTCGTAACTTTATTAGTCCGTTAAAGGGTTAAAATTCACGTAGACGAAAGCACAAGAGCCGATATCGCTTATTCTGCGCTAACGGCGGGAATCATCTAACTCGGCGTGGAAACACGAAACCGAAAGTCCGTGATCAAGTTCTGCCCACACAACCAACCGAGAAATATGTATTTGTTCCACAAGCGTTATCATCGTTCAACGATACCTACGATTTATCGTCGTTCGAGCAACGGAAAATTTCATTCTCGCGTTCCCGCCGCGTCAGCTTCCGCCATTCTTGCCGCGTTCGCGAAATACGTGCATTCCGAATTGCCGTTTTCATATTTGTCCGCACCGGTCGTCTGTCGTATCGAATGAACGAGAGAAAAAAAAAGACCGCAAAATAAACGAGTATGGAAAGCCTCCTGTTTTGAAATTAATATACGCGTCGTAGATGGCACGAAGAGACAAGGTTCGTGAAACATGCATACGACGGGACCGATAAATGGCACCTGGCGGTGCCGCAGGAGGATCATGCGAGGCGTAAATGGTCACCTGGTCGGTTTTCTACTGTTGAGTCAGTCGTCGACGGGTGTAATTTCCGAACAACGGACAGATGAACGGCGCGCACGATTAAATAATGGCCATTGTGCGCGTCGTCACCGCGGTGGAAAGTAGCCGGTGAATCACCGCGGAGATTATTCTATTAACCCGCGATTAGACTTCACACTGCGACCCGTAGCGATCTTAATTCTGCCCCCTCTACCCAGGCCCTAAGTTTTTTAATCCCTCCCCGCTCGTACCGGATCAATTAATCATCGCGGGGAACGGCGATCGTGATTGAGAGCGTGTCCACGGAGGGCAGAAGGGACCGAAGATGATCTTTGAAATGCAGAATACTCGATTAAGAGAAATAGATGTCGAACTATGAGAAAGAAAATATGTAAGTATTCTCACCTGTTCACCAAAGGTATCCTTGTTGAGGAACTTCATCGGCTCCAGATGGGAATGAAACTGCTCGACCACAGTCAGCTGCTTTTTCAGTAGGTACTCGATAATATAGCCCATCGTCACGTCGTCGGGCAACCGGATTCTGTCGCCCACCGTGATGAACTTACCGCCTCTGGAACCGAAAGCAAACACAAGTCGTTAGCCGTCGTCGACAGTGTCGGCGGGCTCCACGTTCGATTCGTTACCCAGACAGGAAACCGTCCGGCCCCTACGCGTAACTACATCTGACAAAATACCGAGGCGACACACAGTCGTCCAGAATCAAAATTCAGCTGCTCAAACTGTCGAAAACAATTTTATCTATTATCTTCCAAGAAACTCGAATCAACTTATTATGAACCATGTCAAATTTGTTCCATAAATTATTGTTCTTCTCAGGTCCTCCGTCAGTGTCAGTGAAAAAATAGAAAGAAAAAAACACCACTTTAAAAAATCAGACTTTCACGAAGATACTGAGACAAACTGTTATTGAATTATGTTCCAATATACCAATGGAAAATAATAATTATAAAATATGTTCCATATACCTACTTCCATTGAACAAGATCGAGACGTGACGGACAACAATGCACATAAATCGGTGAACTCCGCCCAATGAAGGGACAACGCCCGAGTATAAACTAGTCTCTGGTATTTTACTGTTCCATAAAACGATGTCCAACGGACTTTACCCCTTAGATGAACCGAAAGAGTCCGCCTAGCCAGCATTAAAGTCGAATAGCCTCCGTGTATATGAGTTACGGAACGATCTTTCGGTCGCACGCGATACATTTTCGCGGCGGATCCTGGTCGCGAACGTTTTCCCCTGGGTATACCAGCAGCTCCGTCCTAGGATTATCTGGTGTTTATTGCCCACGCGCCTCGGGTGGGCCCAACCGTAGCGAAAGAAGAACGAGGACAGAGAAACGAAGCAAGAGAGGACGAGACCAACCGGAGGACTTTCCAAGGATAATAAATTTCTCGACTCTATGAGCGCGTTTAGACCGCGAACCTGGACCTGTTTGCGTGCGCCAAATGTCTGGGAGAACATGACAACCTGGCTCGTAACTAACAACAATTATTATTCACCAGCGGTATGAAATATTCGAGGCAGGAATAACCATTCCGCTTCTTGCTGAATCGACCTGGCGAACGATTCTAACAAACAAAATGGCTGACTGAAGTGTAACAAGTCTTTTTTTTCTTTCATTAATGCAGTTTTAATCTCCGTGGAGAGATTATCCTGCAAAACGTTTTACATTTGTTACAAACTTGTTGTTACACTTATGTATTAACCTACATAGTAAACAGAAATTATTTACGTCCCTAACATTAAGGTTCTGACACTTTCACTGCAGTAAACAGTGTATTCAACCTACAAAAATGGTATCCTGTCAAAAAGTGAACTCCTTAGAATGATAGGGTAATATCCCCTTTCTGTAGTTAACAATTCAGGTATGGACACAACCTGAAGATACCAATAAAACGACTATTCTAGGTACAGTGATAGCAACTGGGTTATATGTATTGCGTTTTGTACTCCTTGTAGCGTTAACGAACGAGCCAGGAAACGATTCGACCGATAAGAACGATACATACAGGAAGGGTACCAACGACCCAGGAGGAACTCGAGTTCCATTGTACGCAAGCAATTAACTCATTTTCATAGTCCCAGAGAGTTCACGGGAGCGTGCACAGGTCGTATGTGGCCCTCGCGTAAGCCCCTGGTGCGAGCTTATGGGAATGAAACACGGTGTGCTAGGCGCCTGAAAAGGACTCCCCCCTATTCTCCGCCGAATAAATTACAGTGCGCACACACAGGAGGCGGAAAGTCACGCGATCCAGACCTTAGGTCCTTAAACCTTTCGCGTGGCACCCAGGGACACACACGCACGCAAGCACGCACGCACGATTGAGATCGACAGGAAACGGCCGAGTGAACGAAAAGGAATATACACGGTTTCCCTGAACACACTGGTCCCCTTTCGTGTCGAAATCCCCCCGCGAAACTTGTTTCCCCGGCAAATTTCACCCCTCCTATTGTGAGCGTCCTGGGGCCACCATATTGTCTGTGGTTAAATCACGAGGGAAACGAACGATTCCTCGAAAAATTGCTGAAACTTCTAGAAAACAAGATTCAATAATACTAGCTGGAAGATGGATTCGATAAGAATTAACTGGAAGACCAAGCTAGAACATTGACACAGAGGAGGGGGACAGATGAAGGATAAAAGGGGCCAGCGATTTTAATCGACGATAAGCAAGAAGGAACGATTGCTATTCAAGAAGTAAGGGCGAAAGCAAACGAGGAGTTTCGAACACCGCGAGAAATATTAGAATCTGATAATGGGAAAGTAACGAGGGGCCCGGTGCGATCCGCCGGGGGACCGTTTAATTGTCGGATTGCGCGAGGTGGAGAGGGCCCGAAGAGCTCCCCTTAATTTAACGGCATTCCACGCATGTAGATTAGTCCTGGAGCGTGCACCTGCCGCGGCGGCGACGACCACGGCTGTCGTCGTCGTGGTAGTCTTCTTTTTCTTCTTCTTCTTCTTCGTTCCCTCGTTCTGGTGCTCTGGAGAACTGGTTGGTCGCATTAAACCGAGTCCCCCCGCATTTATTAAGGGCCTTCTCCGCCGCCATCGCCGAGCAGTATCGGCGCCCCCCCCCCTCCTTCGTGCTGCCACTAACGAATTTCCATTGATTACCCGATAATACCGACCTATTAATTGGAACGATCCTCTTCCCCATCGACTGGTTGTAATGTACGTATCCTCGTTGATGTCACGCGGTCTTGAAAATGGGGCAACACGCGAGTGTCCACGGCTCGTTAAATACGCCACCGGGCACGTTTCGACGAGCTTGAAATTATTTTACACGCCGGCAGAATTTCTTGTTATACGAAGGAAAGATTCAATTTGTGGGCGAGAGCTGCTTCGTGTTCCTGACGATTAATGATTTCTCGATTCGACACGGTGAACGATGTAACGGGCGAAGATCGATGGCTCGTTGGATGGAAATTTTCAATCGAAATTTTACTCCTGACCGCAATGTGCAGGGACCTTCGTTGCCTTGTTTTGTCCCTATTACGGAGTTCAGGCAAATAGAAATCAGATAAAGTGTATTCACTACTCTATAATTGCGAAATACGTTATACAAGGTGTCCCACCTGACGTGGTCACCTTTATCTCGTATTTCGATCGTAGCACGTTCATCTCACCTGCTTTCGATTTTCAGAAAATTAATTTTAATAAATGCTCTAAGTAATGTATAACAACTTCGATACATTTTTCCATTAATCCCTCTATCAGGTTATTTTATTATTTCAATCTACTCCCATAGATTTGCGGATTTTTGTACTCAAGGTCCCATGGACGTCACACTATTATAAGTCAGTGGATTGATCTTCATAGTCCCATTTTAAAAAACATCGTAGACTTTGAAATTTCGAAAAATACGACCTTCACAAAAAATGTTGCTTATCGCAGTATCTGCTCCTACTAACTAAATAATGCTTGGAAAACCTTAAGAAGATTCAAAATAGGATTCGAGACAAATAAACTATCTGTAAATTAGAATAACTATAAACTATGTATATAGAAAAGAACTATCCTCATCTGGAATTCACCGTTTGGTGGAGGGCTCCGTGAAAACGTTTCGTCGTCGACGGACGTTCAAGGAATCCGACGGGAATGGGACGAAATTCGGGAAAGAGCCCGTGAACGTCCATCGCGGGTCTCGAACGCGAGAGACGCACGATCCACGATGGACATAAATCGTGCCAATTAGAGCGGCGACTGGCGCGCGATGGTGGTAGTCGCAAGTTCGGCGAGCGAGCTTGTATATCGTCCGGCACCTCCTGGTTCGGGGGACGGCCACGTGAGAGAACACCGACGGACAAATGTCTCAAAGGGCTCGCCGCCTATCGTAGATTTGTCTGTCTCTGGGGCCGACTTCCGCGATGGTATGTGTTTGAGGGAAAACGAGAATAATTGGACCGATCAGAAACGATAGGCAGGGTAGGGGGGGCCGTGGAATCGGTTAGCGAATCGGTGGAATTCGTGGATAGATCAAGCTCAATTATTCCGTTTCCATTAAAACGTAATCGGCTTAAATTTCAATTATAATGGGAAATATTCTATTCTGTAATGTACAGAGTCTATCTTGATTATCGTCTGACGTGTTCTACACGATTATTGTCCAAGCGTTATCCCCACCACTGGGGGGAGACCTTGGATCAAGTGCATACTTTATTGCCGAAAAAGATTCCGTTGTCCGAAACATTTCTCCCTATACGATTATTGTCCCGCCGAGGACCCAAATTGAAGACAATAATCGAGAGGAGTCTGTAGTCATCCCCTTATCTATGTGTCACTTGGAAGTAATTTGCAGTCTTTCGACCTTTCATTCCTAAACAACCAAACATGGGTGGCATCGAACCTTAACCACTATGTCACCCTTAACCATAATCAACTGTGTCATATTTCCTTATTCTTGACTATCTCCTCTCCTGGCAGCAAAAATCCTTCAAGACCTCCAAATTTTCGGGAACACTAGTTTCAACATTTCGAGCTTCCGTTTGAAATTTGTCGCTGCAATCGTCACCGGGCTCTCGAACAGCTTCACGACCGGAAGAAATGAATCAAACTGGTAAACGAGAAGAAGCCAACAACCCGACCGAAGAGAGAGAAATCATAAACGAGCGGGAGCCTCGTTAGGTTAGTCAGCGCGCACTCTGCGTGTGCATTTGCAATGCAACGAGAGGGTTCCAGAGACCGTTAAGAGATACACACACGCCGGGGAGGGAAGCGCAGGTGCGCTCGGATAGGTAAAACAAGGTGACCACGAAACGGTGGCCAGGAATACCTGGTTAACTTCTCGTTCGTTCCCGCCGTAAAACTGGTTACAAGTCACCCGACTGCCTATTTCCACGCGAGGAATCGCGACGGGGCCCCATTCATCATCGAATTCAATTTCACGACCGAATGTCTCC